CGCCGGGGAGGGGGGGTCGGGGCAGGGAGACACGCAGCCGCCCGGATGGCGGCGGGGCTCGGAGCCGAGGCGGACGGGCGGGCGCCGAGAGCGACCTCGCCAGACCCGCCGGGGAACTAGCAGGCTCGGCCGGCGCGGGAGGGAGGGCGCGAGGCGCGACCGCAGAGAGGGTGCCCGGAGGGCCCCCCGGCAGCTGGAGAGGCTCCGGGGGTGTCTGCAGCCCGGCTCCAGAGCTCTCTCCCCCAGCTCAGATTCGGGCTTCCACTCCAGCCCTCACCCGCTCACTCGCCCGCCTCTTGGAGCGGGCAGTTCGCGCCCACCCTTATCCCCGGAGCGTAGCCACCGGCTTGGGGCGCACGCAAGCCAATCGCCGTGCCAGGCTTCGGAGCCTGCCTCGCTGCTAAGCAGCACACACACGAAACTTTAAAAAAAGAAATCCCTAAAAAATGTCCTCTTTGCAAGTTAAAACAGAAAAAAAAAAACCTTCTTTGCTCTTTAAATCCCGCAAACGGCGAGAAAGCGACGGGCTCCGGCGAAGGAGCCGCTGTGGGAGCTGGTTCAATCCAGCCCGGCATGGCTCCCCAGGCCTGCCCGGGCGCATGGAGATCGGCGCCGCCGCCACTCGCAGCAACCCCTCTCCCCCGAAATCCGCGGCGCCGGGGCTCACTTACCGAGCGTGTGAATGGGAGCACGGGCCAAGGGCACCTTAGGGGTGCGGCGGGCCGAAGAGCTGAGCCGCAGCTCCGCCGCAGCCGACGCCGGGGCAGCAAGCCGCCAGACAAAGCCCGAGATGGCGAAGCGGAGCGACGGCTAATGGCGAGCCCCACGCGCCGCGCTCCGCCCGCCCCGCTCAAGCGCAGCGCCGCTCCGAGCGCTCGCCCGTCAGAGCCGCCTCGGCGCCGCCGCCTCCCGGGCCACCCCGGCCTCGCCTGGCCCCTCCGCCTCCTCCGGGCGACTCAGCCTCACCCCTTCCCTCCCACCGCGCTGGGGGCTGCACGAAAATAAAAAAAAGAAAAGGAAAAATGCTTTTCTTTTTTTTTTTTCCCCCTCCCTTTGGCAGGGCGGGCGTGTTGAGACTTTCGAGTCTTTTTGCCCCCAGCTCGCACTCACCTGCGGAGCCGCCGGGAGGGCTGGGGGTGGGGGCGCGCGGGGCTGGAGCCGGCGAGCGCGGGTTGAAAGCTAGCCAAGCTCTGCAGCGCCCGACCCGGGCGTATACGCCGCCGCCAGTCCCCGCAGAGAAATCGTCCTCCTACCCCCGCCTCCATCGCTCTGCGTTTCTCTTCCAATCAGCCGATCGCTTGGCGGCTCCTCCATTCTCCGGCCAAGCCTGCTGCCTAGAGCGAGCTCCACTCCTCCATCTGCTCGCCCGGCTCCTCGCTCCCCTGCCGGGGCCGGCGAGGCGACGTGGGGCCGGAGGGGGATTTGCGAGGGAACCTGCCGGCTTCCCGCTCCCATTGCTCCCTCCCTGCTGCCTCCTCCTTCTCTCCTGCGTCTTTCCAACTCTCCCCTGTCGCCACTGGTGTGTGTCTGAGTGTATGCGCGGGTTTCTTTCTTTCTTTTTTTTTTTTTTTTTATTGCTCTTTGCTTTTGCAACCCTGGAGCCAAAGCAGGGTGGGGGGGAGAGAAAAGGGGGGGAAGGGTGTTACCAAAAAAAAAAAAAAAAGCAAGCAAGAAAAGCTCTTAGGTTTGCAACACATTGGAAAACCGGGGGAGTGCCCCGCCTCGTCCGTTCTCGGTGCCCCGCGAGGGCCTTCCGGGTTTTAGAGAGAACCTCTCGCTATTCTCAATGCCCCTCACCTCCTCCGAGTTTAGGATCCGAGGAGTCCGAGCAAAGAGTTCTCCCCCAGGGCCATAGCAAGGGGGTGTCAGGGTGAGAGTTGGGGGCAGTTTTCAAGAAGCAGCAACCATCCGTCCCACCCCCTCGTCGGTAGCTGGGCCGCGGGAGTCTGGGTTGAGAGCAAAAATCCCGGTGGGTTTAGGCGAAGGGGATTCCGGGGCGAAGCGGAGCCGCGAGACCGCGCTTCGCGCATCTCCCCTTCGGTCTCTGCCTCCAGTCCCCAGCCTGCTCCCCCTTTAATTTTTAGCCCCCCCCCTCCTTTAATCTAATTTCTTCCAACTCCACCTTTGTTGTTAACCGGCGTCACGCCCGGACCAGCCAATCCCCGGCACGCTATCAGCTTGTCAAAAAGGCTTGGCCAGCCCTGGGAAAGCAGGCCGCGGGCGCTGCCCCCCCTGCCCCTCCTCCCCCCGGCGGCGGCGGGGAGCCGCGAGGGGAGCCTGGCACCCCGGCCTCGCCGCCAGAGCCGCAGCGGGGCAGCCTCCCCGTAGGCCTTCGGTCTCCACCATCCTGCGGGCCGGAGATCGAACGGCCTGGGCGCGACCACCGTCTACCCTCCCACTGCCGTCGGCTGCGGTTGTCTGTCTCTGCCTCTCCACCAAGAAAGGTGCATCTGGACGCAGGAAGCCCGAAGACAGTCTGAAGAACGCCTGCTTCCATCAGGCGAGCCTACGGTTTGGGCCTTCGCTCCGGGGCGGCGCCATCGCCCCCGGCTCCAGGGATGCCAGTCTACCACAGCGGCACTGCCAGCTGGGCCGCCGACCCCTTTGGACTCTTCCCCTGTCACACAGCCTTCTCCATCCGCACACCACGGCCTCGCTGCTGCTGTAATTTCTCTTGTTTCCTGGGAGAACTGAGAGTCCTTTCCCAGGACTTCCACAGCCCACATCTGCCACGTTTCACAAACCGGGAGGAAAATCTTGTCAAGATCTGGTGTGTCTGGATTTTTTAGTGGGTAGGAGGGGCCGATTTACCTTGTTGCTCATGAAGCTTAAGCTTCAGGGCCCCTCATCGCAAGCCCTGTCTTTACTTTTGATTCATCATTTGGTATTATTTTTGATTTCCCCCTCCCCGTCCCCACAAACCTAGTTCTGCCCTTGGAACCTACAAAGAGGGCATTTTGTGAAGGACCAAGCCATGTCACACTGTACTTAGAACCTGCTGCTGCTGCTGCTAAGTCGCTTCAGTCGTTTCCGACTCTACGCGACCACATAGACGGCAGCCCACCAGGCTCCTCGTCCGTCCCTGGGATTCTCCAGGCAAGAACACTGGAGTGGGTTGCCATTTCCTTCTCCAACTTAAAACCTGCAGGGAATGACTTTCTTGTTTTGACTTCAAAACAGCAAAGGTTTTGGAGTCAGAAGTCCCAGGTTCCCAGCCTCTGGGCTTTCCCACCTAAACAGTGTGAGTTTGATTAAATCTCTTCATCTGATCCGAGCTTTCTTGTCTGTAAAATTAGAATAGCAGTCCTATGTTCTCTGCTTTTCTTGCCAAGGGTTGGAGGGTTGAGTAAGATGATGTATGTAAAACTGTAAAATACTCCACAATGTCATTTGCAACATTTACAATGGGAGACACTTAGACCCCAAGAAAGTTCCAAGTCTTCCACACAGATCTAGTGTCCAGGTGTCCTGGCTCCTGGCCCTGAACTTCTTGGCTAGGCCAAGGAGCATTTCGGTAAAGTGCTTTGGAATAAAAGAGGGTGAACATGAATCATAAGAATGATTATTATTGATTTTTCGTTCCTTGGGCAGCAAAAATCATGGCTGGCACTCTTCCCACTTGGAAACTGACTGGCTTGTTTTACATCTACTGCGTCTCTGGTGAGGTCAGGAGTCTAGACTTGGACTATGGGCCCACGAGCTATGGGCTATGGGCCCAGAGCATAAGGGAACCTACCTACCCCCCTCTCCCAATTCATTCCCCCCTTGCTCCCAGTTTTCTGCCCTGTGCCTCCAAGCAGAGCCTCGGCATTCCACAACCCCAGCCAGGCTGGTGACAAGGCATAATCCTAGCTACACATTCTCCACTTGGCCCCAGGTTTTCCCTGGGTTGCCAGTATCCCAGCACTAGTTCATATAAAATCCCTGCTGTGCCTGGAATGCATTAAGCAAAGTGTGACACTTCAATTCCTAGTGTACATGGAGTAATTTTAGATGGTATACAGATGAACATACTGTTTTCAAAGTTATGTATCATAATGTGTATTTGGGAATGTTCTGTTTTCTTTTGTTTTTTTTAAAGATAGTGCCATAAAGCTGCTGCTTCTTGTTTGAGTGTGAGGAAGTTACTGTCCTCTTTTATTTTTTTCTTTCTTAATTGAGGTATAACTTTCAGATAGTAAACTGCACACATCTTAAAGAATACAACTTGATGCATTTTTACATATGTATACATAGTATACATGTAACATATGTGCATATATATACACATACATACATACATATACATATATATATACATACATACACACATATATATAATGTAACTACCACCCAGATCAGGATATTGAATATTTCTAGCATTGAGCAAGCTCACTCAAAGTCAGTATTCCCCTCCAAATGTCACTAGCATTCTGAGCTATTACCATAAGTTTAGTCTGTTTCTGAAGTTCACATACACGGAATCATTCAGTACATATATTTATACATCTGGCCTCTTTCACTCACCATTGTGTCTGAGATTAATTTATGATGTTGCATGTAGTAGTGGTTCATGCCTTTTCATTGCCATACAGTAGTATTCCATTGTACGCATCAGTCAGTTCAGTCACTCAGTCATGTCGGACTCTTTGCAACCCCATGGACTACAGCATGCCAGGCTTCCCTGTCCATCACCAACTCCCAGAGCTTACTCAAACTCATGTCCATCAAGTTGGTGATGCCATCCAACAAACTATCTCATCCTTTGTAATCCCCTTCTCCTCCCGCCTTCAATCTTTCCCAGCATCAGGGTCTTTTCCAATGAGTCAGTTCTTTGCATTAGGTGGCCAAAGTGTTGGAGTTTCAGCTTCAGCATCAGTCCTTCCAATGAATACTCAGGACTGATTTCCTTTAGGTTGGATCTCCTTGCAGTCCAAGGGACTCTCAAGAGTCTTTTCCAACACCACAGTTCAAAAGCATCAATTCTTTGGCGCTCAGCTTTCTTTATAGTCCAGCTCTCACATCTGTACATGACTACTGGAAAAACCATAGATTTGACTACATGGACCTTTGTTGGCAAAGTAATGTCTCCACTTTTTAGTATGCTGTCTGGGTTGGTCATAACTTTTCTTCCAAGGAGCAAGCATCTTTTAATTTCATGGCTGCAGTCACCATCTGCAGTGATTTTGGAGCCCAAAAAAATAAAGTCTCTCACTGTTTCCACTGTTTCCCCATCTATTTGCCATGAAGTGATGGGACCAGATGCCATGATCTTAGTTTTCTGAATGTTGAGCTTTAAGCCAACTTTTTCACTCTCCTCTTTCACTTTCATCAAGAGGCTCTTTAGTAGTTCTTCACTTTCTGCCATAAGGGTGGTGTCATCTGCATATCTGAGGTTATTGATATTTTTCCCAGTAATCTTGATTCCAGCTTGTGCTTCATCCAATCTGGCATTTCAATGATGTACTCTGCATATAAGTTAAATAAGCAGGGTGACAATATACAGCCTTGACGTACTCTTTCCTGATTTGGAATCAGTCTGTTGTTCTATGTCGAGTTCTAACTGTTGCTTCTTGACCTGCATACAGATTTCTCAGGAGGCAGATCAGGCGGTCTGATATTCCCATCTCTTTAAGAATTTTCCACCGTTTCTTGTGATCCACACAGTCAAACGCTTTGGCGTAGTCAATAAAGCAGAAGTAGATGTTTTTCTGGAACTCTCTTGCTTTTTCGATGATCTGATGGATGTTGGCAATTTGATCTCTGGTTCCTCTGCCTTTTCTAAATCCAACTTGAACATCTGGAAGTTCACAATTCACACACTGCTGAAGGCTGGCTTGGAGAATTTTGTTTCAGCAGGGTTTCCGGCTGTGGGGGGCACTGTTCCGGGTGAGGCATATACCATGGTGGGGGCCCTGAGCCGCTGCCCTCGTGATCCCCCCTTCCCCCGCCGCTGTCTCCTGCCCCATTGGTGCTGCTGCTGTTCCTCTGCCTGCTCTGTCTCCAGATCGGATCACAGTGAGGGAAAGAGGAGCAAGGAGAAGGCGACTTCTGATAACGAGGTGCATTTGTGGCGTAAAATGGAGGAGTCTCCTGCGAGAACTCCCACACTACAACTCACTGCTGAACAACTATTGACTGGAGAATGTTGGATCCCATCAGAAAAAGATACCCCACATCCAAGAGCAAAGGAGAAGCCCCAGCAAGATGGTAGGAGGGGCGAAATCATGTTTGGAATCAAACCCCTTACCAGCCAGAGATGCTCAGAGGCCTCAAACAAACCTTCTGCGTAGCAGGACCCAGAGACCCCACAGAGACTGAGCCAGAACTGTGTTTGAGTGTCTCCTGTGAAGGTACGGGTCCGCAGTGGCCTGCCGCAAGGGCAGGGGCTCTGGGTGCAGCAGGCCTGGGTGTGGCGTAAGTCCTCTTGGGGGAGGTTGCCATTAACCCCACCATAGAGCTGCCAGAACTTGCACAAGACTGGGGAAACAAGACTCTTGGGAGGGCACAAACAGAAACTTGTGCGCTCCAGAACTCAGGAGAAAGGAGCAGTGACCCCACAAGAGGCTGACCCAGGCTTGCCTGTGAGTGTCCAGGAGTCTCCGGCAGAGGTGTGGGTCAATGATGGCCTGCTGCAAGGTCGGAGGCCCTGAATGTGGCAGTGCATGCACGAGACCTTTTGAAGGTCTATCTTCATTACCTCCACCTTGGTTTGGCCTCAGGTTAAACAACAGGGAGGGAACACAGCCCCCTCCATCAACAGAAAATTGGATTGTATGCATACGTGCGTGCTGTCACTTCTGTCCTGTCTGATTCTTTATGACCCCGTGGGCTGTAGTCCACCAAGCTCCTTTGTCCATGGGATTCTCCAGGCAAGAATACTGGAGTGGGTTGCCATGCCTTCCTCCAGGGGATCTTCCTGACCGACCCTTGTCTCTTATGTCACCGGCGTTTGCAGATGAATTCTTTACCCCTAGACCACCTGGGAAGCCCATTCCATTGTATAAGTATACCACAACTTATTCTTCTAATCTTCATGGGCATACAGGTTATTTCCAGTCTTTGACTACTATGAGTAAAAGTTCCAAATGTTCTTGTGCATATCTTTTGGTAGACATATGAATTCATTTTTCCTGTAGATTTCTAGGAGTAGATTTCCTTTATCATAGGGTATAAATGTATTGGACATTATTAGATATTGCCAAATAATGTTGTCATTATTTGGATTTTGATCATTTTAAGAAGTGTGTTCTTTGTTTTAATCTCATTGTTTTAATTTGAAATTCCTTAACGACATGACGTTGTGTATCTTCTCATATGCCTAGTTGCCCTCTGAATATTTTTTTTTGGTGAGATGTCTGTTCAGATCTTTTTGCCATTTTTTAAATCAATTTGTTTTCCTTTCATTTTCTTTTTTGACCGTGCCACAGGGCATGTGGGACCTTAGTTCCCTGACCAGAGATTGAACTGTCAGGGAAGTCCCTGTTTGTTTTCTCATTGTTGGATTTTAAGAGTTCTTTATATATTTTGGCTAACAGTTCTTTATCAGATGTGTCTTTTGCAAGTATTTTCTCCCAGTTTGTGGCTTGTCTTCTCATTATGACCTTGTCTTTCTCAGAACAGAAGTTTTTTATTTTAATAAATTCCAGTTTATTAATGATGTCTTTTCATGCCCTTGGTGTTGTATAACACCTAAAAAACCACCAGTATACCCAGGGTCACCTAGGTTTTTTCCTATGTTATCTTCTACACATAGAAGATATATAGTTTTATGGTTTTGTGATTTAGATTTAGGTCTGTGATCCATTTGGGGTTAGTTTTTTTGTAAAGGATGTAAGATCCATGTCTAGATTGATTTTTGAAGTTTTTGCATGTTGATGTCCAGTTGTTTCAGCGCCATTTTTTTGCAGGAGAGGCTTTTCCATGCAGCTTGTGGGATCTTAGTCCCCAAATCAGGGATTGAACCCCCTGCCCACAGCAATGAAAGCACCCAGCCTAACCACCACTGGACTACCAGGGAATTCCACACACCATTTGTTGAAAAGACAATCTTTGCCACTTTGTATTGCCTTGCTCCTTTGTCTAAAATCAGTTGATTTATATATATGTGGATCTATTTCTGGTGTTTCTATTATATTCCATTGATCTATTTGTCTATTCTTTCAACCATGCCACACTGTCTTGATTACTGTAACTTTTTATACATCTTAAACTGGAGTACTATCTGTCCTTGAACTTTCTTCTTCTTCTTCAATATTGTATTGGTTATTCTGGGTATTTTGTCTCTCCATATAAACTTTAGAATAGTTTGTTGACCCAGATGGTGCAGTGGTAAAGATCTACCTGCCAATGCAGGAGATGCAAGAGACATGGGTTCGATCCCTGGGCAGGAAAGATCTCCTGGAGTAGGAAATGGCAACCCACTCCACTATTCTTGCCTGGAAAATTCCGTGGACAGGGAAGCCTGGAAGGCTATAGTCCATGGGGTCGCAAAGAGTCTAACATGACTGAGCATAGCACAGCACACACACATACACGCATATCCACAAAATAACTTGGTGGGATTTTGGTTCAGATGGCTTTGAATCTATAGATGAAAATAGCAAGAATTGATATCTTGACAATATTAAGTTTTCCTAGTCACGAACATGGATATTTCTCCATTTATTTAGTTCTTTGATATCTTTCATCAGAGTTTTGCAGTTTTCCTCATATAGTTCTTATACATATTTTGTTAGATTTATATGAATACTTAATGTACTTCATTCTTTTTCAGTGCTAATATAAATAACACTGATTTTTATTTACAATTCCTCTTGTTCATTACTGGTATATAGGAAAGCAATTGACTTCTGTATATTAACCTTGTATCCTGCAACCTTTCTATAATCATTTATCAATTCCAGGAGTGTTTTTTGTTGGTTCTTTCAGATTGTTTACATAGATGATTGTGTCATCTGCAAACAGAGATAGTTTTACTTCCTTCCTCCTAATCTGTGTTTCTTCCTAATCTTTCTTTTCCTTTTCTTTTTCTCTTCTCCTTTTTTAGGATTTCTATGTATGATTTTGAAAGCAGTAGTGAGAAGGGACATACCTACCTTGTTCCTAATCTAAATGGGAAAGCGTCACTTCCGGATTGGAAAGCAAGGGGACGACGCGTTTGGCCCGTAGGTGAGAGTGCTTTTCAGCTGTTCCGGTTTTTTCCCTCAGTGATCATGTCTGAACCAAGCTGTTTATGGCTGCTTGTCTTCATCTCCCCGGAGGCCTAAGTTGGACCCAGGTCCCCAGGGATGGACGTGGTGCCTGTTTTCTCGCAGCCGCTCCAGGCCCTTCCATGCTGGAACTTTCGTTTTTGTTTTTTGTTTTTTTTTTCCTGTCAGCCCCGGAATGCCCATCCCGGGACCGAGCGGGGTCTTCTTGGAACCCCAGAGTGGGGAGGGAATCCGGGACCAGGCTTGGGCACGTCCCTGCAGGGCAGGAATTGGTCTATTCCGAATATAAATAGGGATAAATGCATATAAATAGGGATAAATGCATATCCAGGGAACCATTTGGGAAACTGGACGAGGAGACTGCAGCCCTTAGGTGGCCGGTTACGTCCCTCCGGAGCTAAGTGCCATCGGGGAAACAGCTGGATTGTTGAGAAACCTACCTGTAAGGAGGAGGCGGGACCCAGGAGGAAATAGAGGAAGTGATTTTCAAAATTTAAGACTAGTTATAGCGCAGACAGGTAACGCAGAGGGAAAAGCATTCCTGGGAGAATGAGATGCTTTTGTAAATCCTCTGATAAAGATATCATGGTATATTCTGGGGAGGTAAAGAAGACAGGGTGTCTGAAACCCAGAGAAAAATGAGAGGTGGAGAGGTGGTCTTGGACCAGACTAGATGCTAAAGGGAATGGTAGATCTGTAAGGATTTGGGATTCTGTCTTAAGAATAATGGAGAGGCCATAAAAAAAAGTTTTTAAGTGGGAAGTGACCCTGTATATAAAAGGTACTGAGTTCAAAAAACCAGAAGGAGCAACATACAAGGTATTTACCAAAAAGAAAGAAAGAAGTGGATGGAAGGTAAACAAATATTTAAAAGAATTATCTGCTCTGTTCATTGTTATTAAGAGAGTTTGAGAGAATTCCCTGGTGGTCCAGTGGTTAGGACACCATGCTTGCCCTACAGGGGACACAGGTTTGATCCCTGGTCAGGGTGGCTCAGCTGGTAAAGAGTCCACCTGCAATGCGGGAGACCTAGGTTCAATCCCTGGGTTGGGAAGATCCCCTGGAGAAGGAAAAGGCTACCCACTCCAGTATTCTGGCCTGGAGAATTCCATGGGCTGTATAGTCCATGGGGTCACAAGAGTCAGGCAGGACTGAGCGACTTTCACTTTCAGGGAAGTAAGATCCTGCAAGTTGGGTGGTGAGGCAAAAAAAAAAATAAATAAAAAAGAAAGAAATTTTGTTGTGAAGGGGAGGAAAGAGAATAGCTAGGTGGGACTTTGGGATTGGAGGATGGTGGCATCCTTGTTGTTTTTTTTTTTTTTAAGTTAGAAAATAGTCTGAAGATTGTTGGACATTGCTAGAAGGGATCCAGTGCAGGAGGGAGAAGGGGAGAGAGACTGGTTAGCTGATGGATCACCATCTCTCTGAGAAGGAGTTTGGGATNTTGTTGAATTTGATTAGCTAATATTTTGTTGAGAATTTTTGCATCTATATTCATGAGAGATATTGATCTGTAGGGTTTTTTCTTTCTTTCTCGTAATGTCTTTGGTTTTGGTATTAGGATCTCATAGACTGAGTTAGGAAGTACAGTTGTCCCTTGGTATCCACAGGGGATTGGTTCCAAGACTCCCACAGATATAAAAATCCACAGATGCCCAAGTCCCTTATATAAAATGGCTTAGTATTTGTATAAAACCTATGTATGAATATACCCTCCGATGTACTTTTTTTTTTCAATGTACTTTAAAATGAGCTTTCCTGATGGCTTGGTGTAAAGAATTCACCTGCCAATGCAGGAGACATGAGTTCAACCCCTGGGTTGGGAAGATACCCTGGAGAAGGAAATGGCAACCCATTCCACTATTCTTGCCTGGGAAATCCCATGGACAGAAGAGCCTGGAGGGCTACAGTCCATGGAGTCACAAAAGAGTGGGACACGACTTACTGACTAAACAACAAGCAAGCAAGCAAAGTCACTCGGTCGTGTCCGACTCTTTGCGACCCCATGGGCTGTGGCCTACCAGGCCTCTCCATCCATGGGGCTTTCCAGGCAAGAGTACTGGAGTGGGTTGCCATTTCCTTCTCCACAACAACATACTTTAAATCACCTGTAGATTGCTTATAATACCTAATACAATGTAGATGCTATGGAAATGGTTGAAAATGCGTTGTAAATGCGATAGAAATCGTTGCTGGCACACGGCAAATTCAAATTTTGATTTTTGGAGATTCCTGGAAAATTATTTTTTGGATTATTTTCAATTCACAGTTAATTGAAATCTGGATTTCAAGTGGAACCTGGGGATACAGAGAGCTGACTGTATTCCCTCCACTTCTATCTTCTCGAAGAGACCAGAGAATTGTTAAAATTTCTTTTTTCAACATTTGGTAGAGATCAGTAATGAACCCATCTGGGCCTTGTTGTTTTGGAAGGTTGTTGCTTGTTGTTTTGGAAGGTTACTAACAATTGATTCAATTTCGTTCACAAGTAAAAGACCTATTCAGATTTCTTGTGTGAATTTTGGCAGATTATATCTTTTAAGGAATTGGTCTATTTCATCTAGGTTATCAAATGTATGGGCATAAAGCCATTTATGATGTTCTTGTATTATCCTTTTAATGTTCATGGGAGCTGCACTGTTGTCCCCTCTTTCATTTCTGGTATTAGCAGTTTTTAAGAAGTTATTTATTGTTGGTGGCGTCTCCGTTGCTGCAGGTGGGCATTCTCTGGTTGCGGCGAGTGTGGGTTGCTCTTCGTTGCGGTACTTAGGTTTCTCATTTGGTGGCATCTCTTGTTCCGAAGCACAGGCTCTGGGTGTAGGGGCTTCCGCAGTTGCAGCACGTGAACTCAGTTATTTGCGGCCCACGGGCTTTAGTTTCTCTGCGGCACGTGGAATCTTCCCAGACCAGGGATCGAAGCCCGTGTGTCCCCTGGATTGTCAGGCAGACTCCTATCCACTGGACCACCAGACAAGTCCTGATATTAGTAATTTGTGCCTTCTCTTCTCTTTTATTCCTTAGTTACCCTGGCTAGACGTTTACCAATTTTATGGATCTTTTCAAAGAACCAGCTTTTTGTTTTGTTGATTTTCTCTGTTGACTTCCTGTTTTCAACCTCATTGATTTCGGCTCTGATTCTTTCCTATTGTTTCTTTTCTTTTGTTGAATTTGGATTTAGTTTGCCCTTTTTGTTCTTGTTCCCTAAAGTGGAAATTTAGATTATTGATTTTAGATCTTTCTTCTTTCTAATACTATCTGCATTTGTTAATATAAATTTGAGCAATGGTTTTGCTAAATCCTCCAAATTTGGAGTTGTTTTTGTTTTCATTTATTTCAAAATATTTGAAAATTTCTCTTGAAATTTCTCCTTTGTCCCATGTGTTACTAGAAATATGCTGCTCTGTCTCCAAGTAGTTGGGAATTTTCCAGCTATCTTTCTGTTGTTGATTTCGAGTTTCATTCCATTGTGGTCTGAGCATAGACACTGTATGATTTCTAATCCTCTAAACTTACTAAAGTGTGCTTTATGGCCCCAAATATGGTATACCTTGGTGATTGTTCCATGTGTGAGTTTGAGACCAATGTGTTGTTGGATAAGTAGTCTATAGATGTCAATCATATACAGTTTATTTACAGTGTGGTTGAGTTCAACCATGTCCTTACTGCCTGCTGGATCTGTCCATTTCTGATAGAGAAGTGTTAGAGTCTCCAGCTGTTACAGTGGAGTCATCTATTTCTCTTTGCAGATCTATCAGTTTTTGCCGCATGTATTTTGACACTGTTGCTAGGCCCATACAAGTGAAGGATGGTTGGGTACTTTCCTGGTGGTCCAGTGGTTAAGAATCTATCTTGCAATGCAGGGGATGCAGGTTCAATCCCTGGTCGGGGAACTAAGATCCCATATGCCATGGGGCAACTTGGCAACTAAGACCTGATACAGCTAAATAGGTTTTTTTTTTTTTTAAGGATTGGTACATCTTCTTGGAGTATAAAGCAACAGTTAGAACTGGACATGGGACAATAGACTNGCTGTTTAAATATTCATAATATATTCACCCTTTTTATTTCTGTAGAATTAATATTAGTATCCCCATTCTCATTTCTGAATTTAACCATTTGAACCTCCTTTTATTTTCCTTAATCCATCTAGCTGAATATTTGTTAATTTTGTTGATCATTTCAAATAACCATCTTTTGGTTTCATTGATTTTATGTTTTTCTATTCTCTAGTTCATTTCTTTGCTGTAGCTTTATTATTTCCTTCCTTCTGCTAGCTTTGGATTTTTTTTTTTAATCTTGTACTGAAAGGAGATCCAACCATTCCATCCTAAAGGAGATCAGTCCTGGGTGTTCATTGGAAGGACTGATGTTGAAGCTGAAACTTCAGTACTTTGGCCACCTGATGCAAAGAGCTGACTCATTTGAAAAGATCCTGATGCTGGGAAAGTTTGAGGGCAGGAGGAGAAGGGGATGACAAAGGATGAGATGGTTGGATAGCATCATCGACTCGATGGACATGAGTTTGGGTGGACTCTGGGAGTTGGTGATGGACAGGGAGGCCTGGCATGCTGCAGTTCATGGGGTTGCAGAGTCAGACACGACTGAGTGACTGAACTGAACTGAATGCCCTTTTTATCCCTGATAACTTTGCTTGCTTTGACATTGGCCTTGTCTGAAATTAATATATCTATCCTCACTTTTTTTTTTGGCCATGCTTTGCAGCATGTGGGATCTTAGTTCCCCAACCAGGGCTTGAACCTGGGCAATAGAAGTCAAAGCACTGAATCCTAACCACTAGACCACCAGGGAACTCCCTCCACTTTTCTGTTGATTAGTGTTAGCGTGATATATCTTTCTCTGTCCCTTTGCTGTGAATCTATATGTGTACTTATAATATTTAAAGTGAGATTCTTGTAGATAATATATAATTGGGTCTTGTTTTTTTACCCTCTCTGACCA